AAAATAATCTTTCTACATGATGGAGGAACATCTTTCTGAATAAATGTTGTGACTGTGGTTGAACATCTACACCATGCTGAGTCATCATTTTCTTCTCCGTTCTGGTGTCGCCTGGAGACAAACAGTCAGAACCTTCTGATTCATAGCTGTGTTATCTTCTCGTCTTGGTTCTTCTGTTTTATTGGAGCTGCAGGAGTTGATGTTGCAGAGAAAACTGAGAGGGGCAGTAAATGAAAACACCAGAAGCTGCTGCTGAGAGGGTTAACCCTTCGCTGTAGGTGTCGATCAGCAGCTATTTGTAGCAGGCGGCTGCTTTCTCTGCTCTGTGACAGCAGCAGCTCCATTACCTGTCGACAGGTGTCCCCTCAGACAGACTGTTACGCCACAGCTTTACCAGGTCGCTGCTTTTTATCTGAATCTCAGACGGCTTCGGCGCCGCTGACCTCCCGTCTTCTCGCCCTGATCCTCCCTCTCCTCGCTGCAGACCCACTTCCCTCCGAAGGGTTTCCCTCCCGGTCTGTCTGAACCGTCCCGGATGTGAGTCCAGCGAGTCGTGCTGAGTTTAGCCTCTGAGCCTGAGCCCAGACTGTCTGCAAATTAGAGAAATTAGCCCAGTGAAAGAGCCTAAATCCTCCTGCGCCGCCCTCCCCGCCGCCTGCACCTCACACACAAACATCCACGACACAAACCCCCCGACGCCACACCGACACTAAAGCTGCACTCGCAGGGCAGCCGGGCCATATGGCAGCCAATTTACTGCTTCACCAGGAACGGCACTCACAGCTTAAAATAAAGGCAGCGCGTATTTATAGACGTGGGGAATAAAATGTACGGAAAGTTTTTTACAACGTGCACAAAAACACTTTTCATTCATCCTTTATTCAATTTATTTGTGGAATTATTAATTTAATTTTATTATTTATGTATAAATAAATAACTTTTCAGATTGTAAATGTGCACATTTTATTCTTTGTATGTTCAAATTAATTTTTTTCTATTTATGTATATATAATTAATTTTCTAGATATTGTATTCTTTAGATGTTTTTAATTTATTAATTTAATTATGTATAAATAAATACATTTTCAGAATGTAAAAGTGCACACTTTATTCTTTGTATGTTCAATTTAATTACATTTTTTATTTATGTAAATCTAATTAATTTTCTAGATATTTTATTCTTTAGATGTTTGAGTTTTTTGTGAAATTTTAATCTAATTATATGTAATTTTTTAAATTTCTAAATTTGATTTATTTATCGATCTATTTATTTTTATTTAATATTTATTTGTTTGTGGAGTCGATTAATCAATTTAATATTTTATTTTTAAACATAGTCTAATTTCATTTGATGGAATTTAATTTTAATTTTTAAATTTTCTTTCTTTCTTTCTTTTGGTAGATTAATTGATTTTTTAAATTATTTTATTATTATTATTTTTTTATACTTTTGCCAAATTAAACCACAACAGCAGTGCACCGTTTAGGAGCCAGCTTCTTTAGTTGTGCATTTGTAATTTTGACTTGTTCAGCAGTTTATTAAATATCTGATGAACGAATGTGAAGACGAGCAGCGCGCCTGCAGAAACAAATCAACTAATTCGTCTCCTCACAGTCTGATGCTTAAATAACCTGAGAGACGTTTTATAAATAGTGAGATGAACGAGGTTTCTCCCCGTCGGCCACATATAGCTCGTCCTCCATATGCCGCTGCTCTCTCCTGTCCTGCTTTCTTTCTGCAGAGCTTCAGGTGATTTAGACTTCGTGTCAGACGGCGAGTCTGAAAGTAAAGCGGCAGACAGGTGTCTAAGTCCGTTTCCTGTGACCTGCCCTACATCTGCAGAGCACGCGACGCCGACCCGGAAGGGTTCTAACCTCGCACTTCAGGGTCTTTGGACCAACATCACACGTGAAGCTGTGCTGCTGTGTGCTGGGCTGGAGCGGCGGGGGTCCGGGGGGCTGAAGATGCTCCACAGTTGGATGTAGGTCAAGGAGATACAGTGGCAGCAGATTGCTCATTAAGTGCCAAACCAAGCAAAAGTCTCCGAGTGTGTTTTTCAGTGGCACCAGGCCGACCATCTGCTGCTCCTTTATTCATTCATTAAGACGTCTTCTTTGTGTGTGTGTGTGTGTGTGTGTGTGTGTGTGAGCATTCATAACACGTCACCGGTGTTGTTGTGCGAAGCCAACAGTTGTGTGTCAGATGGGCCGGGTCACGTGACCACGGCAGCCTCTGATTGGCCGGCGCGTTGAGCTAAAAACGCTCGGCGCGCTGCTGCCCCGCGAGTTTGCGGCGGCTTGATCAGAGGATCTAATCTAGAGCTGAAGAAGCCTCAGAGACAGAGAAACGGGGGTGACTCGACCAGAGACATGAGGAGCCACCAGACGAGTGTGACGGTGAGTCGGGTTTTATCCGGGTCGCTGTGGACGAGTCGGGCGGACGGAGGTGACCGGTTGACCTGAATGTTGGGATGCAGCCAAGAGACGGCGTCAATGAGCCGCTCATGAATGGAAGCAGCTGATGATGAATGAGGGAGTGTAGGAAGCCTGTGGAGCTGATGTAGAGATCCTCCACCTCCTGACTGGTCCTCACCTTTACGTTCTCCTTCCTCTTCCAGATCCTGAGCTTCAACCAGCGGACCTGAGACCAGGGATCTACCCCAAACCAAACCAAAGGACTTCTAAACCAAAGCAACCCAAACCAAAAGCAGACAGTTCTGTGGACCAGAAGAATGAAGCTGGATAACTCACCTGGAGACATGAGCACCTGGAGGGAGCTGGACTTCGCCCTGAACTGCACCTACATCGTGCCGGATCAGGTGTCGGACCCCAGCTTCAGCCTGCCCAGAGCCATGACCTCCATCCCCAGGAACCTCACCTTCGAGTACGGCACAGACAACGAGGTAAGAGCGAGTCCGGTCTGGAACCAGAACCTGGAGATGTTTGACTGCCAACACGAGGGATTTGTCTCCGTATCTGTACGCAAAAGTTAATGAAACCACTGATGAGTAGGTAAAGAAGGATAAAGATTAAAAAAGAGAAAGCAGTGCTGCAGGAGGAGGACATGAGTGGAGCAAGTCTGCAAGAAAAAAAAATACGTTAACAAAAATTAAATATTTTAATGTTGTAAAAAGTAAAAAGAACTGCAGATATCTGTAAAATCAGGATATTATCGTAAAGGAACAAATTCCTTTTAAAAAATCGATTATTTACAGTTTGAGCCTAATTTCAAGCAGCTAACACGTGGATTCAAAAAGAATAAAATCTGTAGTTTTACTAGATATTAGCTGTAATTTAGCAAAACGAGGAAAATCTGTAAAACATGATTATAAAAAAAGAAATTATTTACCTTTTTTAAAATTCTTTGTATGCATTATTCTTCTGCCAAAGAGCTCATAAATACAACTTGCTGCTGATTTAAATATCTGAATTGTTCTGAATATTATCGTTAAAACATGTTAAGTCTGAGTTAATACAAAACTAAACGAGGTATCTGCGGTTGTTTCAACGTGGGACAAACAAACACAAACTCAACATGAACACGCGACCGACGCAGGAACAAACGTGTCTAAAAGCTGCAGCAGCGACAGTTTTCCGATCCTGAGCGTGAGTCGAGTTACGCAACAGTCTGTCGGACCATCTGCATCCAGGACAAAAGGAGCGCTGACTCAGGAGGACCAATGTGGGCCAGTGGACACGAGGTCAGCGGCAGCTTGAGGTCAGCGGCCGCCTTCACCTGAGCGTCCACGTTTCACCTCACGCGTCCAGGCCGAGGCCCGCCGAGGACCTGCAGCACCAATAAACCGTCCTCCTCCCGTTTTATTGGCCGTTTACAGCCGAGCGCTGCAGAAAGACGCTCCGAGTTCCCGCTAACCGAAGGCAACGCTGCAACATAGGAACTAGGAAACGCATCGACGAGCTGTGACTCACAAACTTCAGATTTTGTGTAAACTAAATAAATCTTAATGCAAAGCAGTGAGAGCAGAAGTCTTTTATGGTAGGATTCAAAACGATAAAACGAGTCAGATAAACGCTGTAAAGAACAAATCTGTAGAAGAAAGTGAAAGTTTCAGAAAAAATAAGTTCGAAAACTGTAAAAATCTAAAAGAAAATCATATTTTTATCTGATTTAAACAATAAAAACTGTAATTTATGATCAAACTGCTGCTGCAGTGGACAGTGTTTAATAAAGCTCATCACATGCTACAAGATAAAAACATGGATAAACAGTTTACATTTTAAACATTGTCTTGGTTTTTGACGTAGTAGCGTTGCATCAACTTCATATTTTGTGTCATTTAAACTTAATTTTCTGTAATATTTAATGTAAAAAAAAAATTTAGTTGAGGTAACTTAATAAAGTTGGCTTGATAACTTAATTTTTCTTCATGTTGAGGTCATTTTGACAAGTTCTGGACATTGTACTGTTGCATCAACTTCATATTTTGTGTCATTTAAACCTAAATTTCTGCGTTAGTTGAATTAACTTAAATTACTTGAGTTGATTTAACTTAATATAATTAGCTCGCTAACTTAATTTATCTTCACTGCGAGGTCATTCTGGTGAGTTTTTGACAAACTAAACTTGCATCAACTTAATTTTGTGTGTAATTTAAACTGAAATGTCTTCATTAGTTTAGTTAAAAAACTAAATTTAAGTTGAGGCAACCCAATTATTCTCCACCTGGAGGTCAGATCTCCTCCTCCTTTGTTTTATGAGGGTAGAAAGTTAAATATTCCCTTTAAATAACAAGGAACCACTGCTTTGATTCACTGGTTTTATGGGAAACCAGCTTGAAGCTCGTGTTGTGTGGTTCTAAGGATTCAGACGTCTTATTTGTCAGATGCTTGTACACGATGGGAAGTGAAATGCAGCCGCTGTGCAGCAACAGCAAGACTGAGAAACCAGATGTTCCTTAAAAGAGAAAAGAAAGTGCAGAGCTGCAGCTGACTGGCTGAGCAGGACGTCACTGGTCTGAACCCAAACGGGCCGATGCGAACCTCGCTTGTTAGAGCGCTCTCAGGTGAGTCAGCGCCTCTGCTATCAGCTGACTGCTCAGACCTGCCCAGACGTGTCGATGAAGCTCCAAGAAGAAAGGCTCAGGAGGGAAGCTGGTCCTGCAGAGAAAGAGAGATCGCTGAAGGGAAGCTGCTCTGTCAAGGCTTGCGGTCCGGAGCTCTTCCTCTTTCTGCCAACTTCTCCTTCTGCAGCTCTCACACTCTCATCTGTTCCTCCTCCGCCGCCGCCGATGCGAGCTGATGGTAAAAGTGTGATAAAGCCTCTTGTTTACCAGCCGCCACGTCTTTCTGCTAACGTCTGAGCTGACCCCTGAACTCTGCTGGCAGACGATTAAGGTCGATCAGCTGAGAGGCATGAAAACAGACCCAGTGATCTGGATGGACCCGCTCTGGTCCATTCAGTGGTTTCCCTTCGTAGAGACGATGAACTCGTACGTATAAGGAGGCACTTTTATGTCATCAGGGAGGAATTTCTCCCACAGCTGGATGTACGGGGTGAAGTCACTGACGTAGACGTTATTTTACTGATGCATCAGCTTCAACAATCAGGTTAACTGAATGAAACCTTGAAGTCGACCTACTAAACACCCGAGTGGCTATATTTTGTTTTAACTCACAATAATAAGAATTAAGCTCATAACTCTTCAGTAATTCCCTTTAAGTAACGTTCAGATACGACTCGGATTAACTTCATTTTATGAGTAATCGGTTTTAAAACTCTGTGTTTATGCTGCTGATCATTAAAGACGTGGTTTTAATTCAAGATTCAAGCAGCTGAACCAGAACATGAGTTCATTCAAATCTAAGTTTGACTGAATTCTTCCAAATACACATTTTACATATTTTATGCAATATACACCACAAATTGTTTTTAAATTAATAAAATCTATATATATATACATAGTTTTTGTAATAAAACAAAAATTAAAAGAAAAGTTATCCTTAAAATACTTAAGAATTAAAAAGAAATGTGTATATTTAAAACATTTTAAATGTTTTTTTCTTATAATAAAAAATAAAATACTTTAAAGAATGTTTAAAATAATCTTTAAAGGGAATTATATATATATAATTTCCTCAAAATACTGAGGCCTGTTTTCATTCTCAGTAATTTAATGATTTTTTTAACATTATATAGTTATTTAAGCTATTATAT